AGAGGCCATTTCATGTGCACCTGCTAATAAATCTAGAGGTTTTTTTAACAGTCCCAGGAGATAAAGAGCCCATATGCTAACCAATTGCACCACCTAGCTTCATGCTAAAGCATTTTCAGAGTCCTATTGTCCTAATACCAGAGCTTATGTTCCTGCGAGGTGAATGCTTCTTCTAGTTTCACCCCTGCTCATCTGGTGTCTCACCACGGATATTAGAAACAATTCATTAGCTTTGATGTGTTCAGAGTTCAGAAACATCTCACCTAAAAACATGCAGTAATGCTGTTCATAGGGGTATAACAGAGCGACTTTAATTACCCTTCTTCAATTTGGCACAGTGGTGTGACCTTTCAGTCCATGAATGCTTCCTGTAACTCTTGTGTCTACATTTACCAAAGCTTGATAGTGTCTGCTGTTGGTTTGGTTCATTACTTAGTGGAGCAACATAGATTAAAACAAAACTCAGTATGTGTGAGCTCTACCACTTACTGACCCTATGTCTAGGAAGGCAAAGGCTACCTTGGTCCCATTTCCAGCAATATTTCCTTTTCTAGGTTTGTTAAAACAGGGTGCCTCTGAGCTCTGACTTCAAGTCCAAATTGTCCTGAGTCTCAAGTGAGAACCGCCCCTTTCTCACCAAGCCTCAATTCCGACAAAAACACATTTTCTGCAGTATTAGGACTTGAGTACTTGGAAACAAAATAGCAGACTTTGCGTACCTCTCTTGGATAAACAATCCATGGCATGGTTTTTAACGACTTTCTGACCTCATCCTCTTTAAGAGGAATTAAAGCAGAACAAAGGAGCTAAACTATACCTCAACATCGGACTAAAGAGCAATATAAATATGCCTGCTGCAGTCCTCCAATGTCCAAACTGGGACACGGTCCTTTGTAGCATACCTGCACAGTGCCTCTGAGAGCAGAAGACCTGGAGAAATTCACACATGAAAACTACACTGCATATACGTTACTTTAACGACTTCAATTCAACCAGCATAGGCAACCAGGAAAATAAGCTAGAGCATCAGCTCATGATTCTCTTGGAAGCTTCACAGCCTGCTTGCAAGGTGTCAGGGCCCCTTTCTATCTCCTTCCTAGACTGACTTACCAAGTCAGTCTAGTTTGTCAGACCTGTCCTAGAATAAAAGGTAGATCCCTCTTTGACATAAAAGCTGTGGATAGAGCACGGTAATTCTCTTACAGTGGTGACACTTCATTTAGTATAGTTTTAGGACTGCTGAAAGCAGCAGCCACTGAACTGTTACCCTTGCCAAGCTGCAAGATGGAGTTCTTCATTACTAACTGTAAATAAAGTAATGCAAAAAGTATGAGTACAAAATTAGTTAAGCCGAACAAAACCATGAAAACAATCAACAAATGAGGGTTTGTGTTATTTTGACATAATTCACAGCAAGCTTGTCAGCCAACAGGGGTATTTCCCTTCTCTGCCCAGCTTGCCTTTAGAAAGGTTATTAAGATGTTTCAGAGGAGCAGAAAGTACTAATCTATTTTACACACATCACACAGTTTCACTCTCAGTTTCTGCCAGTGGCCAGAACATCCTCATACACGAACAATTTTGACAATTATAATTTGTTCCTTAGTTTTCTTTGACTGCTGCTGGGCTTCACCAGATATTCACTACAGACTGAACAAAGTGGTACATTATTTAAGAGCCTCAGGTTAAAACCTCTGCACTTGGTGCTCCTGATGTATGAGCAACGTACTCGGTAACACACGCAAAGTTACAAGATCTGGCTGTGAATCTCAGAGCTCTGCTATGCAACACAGGGCAAAAAATAGCAATTTCACATCCACATGGTATGAAATTAGCTTTAAAACTCCTTCTGGACTTGACACGAATAAAATAACAGCCTCCTTTCTGAACTGCCTGATTCAATTATATGCCACGGGTTTTTTTTAGTATCTCCAGGATTAACTCATTTTCTAATGTGATGCAAGGTATTCCCTCAGTCTGCTTTCCAGACAAATGATTTGTCTTTAAATCCCAACTTATACTTTCATTTAAGTGACATCCTTCCAACTTCTGCCAAAAGAATCACAACAAAAAATGAAACTTTTAATCCAGAGCAGCAACATCTGCTTTCTGCACTGTGGTACCCGCTAAAAGATGCAACAAAGACAGCAGCAATGATGGCTGAAAACAGTTTAGCGTAACGTACAGGGAAGAAAACACTGCGAGTAAAAAGATCTGGAGCAAAGCAGTCAAACTGCTAGTCTTATTCAGATAGTAAAAGCTGTGACAGAACACATCTAGGAAGTGGCTGTTTTGAAACAATCACTTCAGCTCCATGGGGGGGAGGGGGGGAGGGGGAATAAGTAGCTGCAGAAACCACCCTAATTCACTTTAAAGACAAAGCACCTAGGAGTAACTACAAACTGATCCAACCACAACCTACAGGTTAGGCCTACCATGCATTAGCCATGATTTAATTTTGACAACAGTCAGTATCAAGCATTTAAAATGGAAGCTGAAAAAAAATCTAGAGTAGAAATTTAACCCACCATCACTGGGATGATGGAGCAGAAATTATCAGTTCAACAGTGGCAAAAAAATGAAAAGAAAAAAAAACAAGAAACAAACAACCCAAAACCAACCAACCAACCAAAGCAAATATTGAAAGAAACAGTTGCAACAAATAAGAAATTTTAGGCTACTAAGTATTTAACAAAGTACTTAGCAAAAATATATATTTAACAAACTTTCTTTAGTTCCTAGAAACTACCAAAAGCTAGCAAGAGCTGGGACCACTTGCAGATGGGTGCTGTGCCTGTGAGGCCAGTACCTATTGGCTGCAAATGGGCTCTGAGTGGACCAGGACTTTTTTTGATTAGTGGGCACCAGTGGGCCGTATGGGACAATGTCCACACAGGTCTTCCTCTGCCAAAAGGGCTACCGTTAAAGCAAGACTGATAATCAGCCTAGTGACGCACAGGGACTAGCCTAGTTCTCAGTCATCTCGGAGTGGTTCTCTGAACACATGCTAGAGCTGCCTGGAAAACATTGTCTACGCTTCCTGCTAGAAACTATAGTTGGATTCCAGACTCCAAAGTGAGTCTCCATGCTTTCTGAAACTCAAACTGTGTTCCCCCTATCATGAAACATATTTGCAAGTCATGTTAAATAATCCACAATAACAGATTTGTGATAGCACCAGCTTCATTTGGGTAGGTCTGACCTCATGAAAGTGCATATCCGTCATACCTCAAGTAGCATCATGCTCTTGATTAGTCAGATTATTCAGACTTTAGGAGTGGAGGACTCTGAGACAGAATTGTCCGAATCTGAATCAGACCAAGTATCAACCCAGTCTTCTGGGTCTCTATATAAAGAAATTCCCTTTTCCACAGCTTCCAGATGATGCCCAAGTATTTCCCAGGCAAACACTGCTATGTGGGGGAACACACATTGCTCTAGTTTCTCCACATTAGCCCAACAGATTTTAACACGGGCACATGACACTTTTCTCCTTTAGTGCAGCCCTAGTGTCCTGTCGGAAGTTGTCCAGTTCTTTTTACAGGTAGCCAACCTGAGCTGCTTTCAAATGCTGCTCAGTATTAATAAGGAAATGAACTCATAGGTACAAGCAGGGTAATGCTCCCTTTATGTTTCTGTCTCTCTGGCTTACTCTCAAAGTAGAATCTGACCCTGCAGGCTGGGCAAGGTCCTAAAATAACCACTTAAGGCACTCACTATAGGGTCAGCATGTACCATATCTCTCCTCTTACATCAGAGAGTAAGGGCTTAACTATAACTCTGACAACTTACAGGTTTACTATGTTGTAACAGACACCAGACCAACAGCTTCAGGGATAAACGGTTTATGTCTAAGTAACAGTACAGTCAAACATACAGCTCAGCAGTACAATTATGCGGGTCCTAAAACAGCAAGTCAAGTAATTCACCAAGACTGGGCTAGACCTAATATCTGGGCTTGCAAAGACTTACATGAGCATGGTTGTCAGGTAGGCAGCAGAGTATGACCTCTTCTCCAGACAAGTGACAAGGACTGGCCAACAAGCATGGGGAATGCATATTCCTTGGCTGGACTGTCCTTTTTTACCACCAAGCTGCAGAAGCATGGTCTGGACTTTTTAGCAAAACGTTACACCCCTCTGTGCCAGCTCTGTCCTTAGTGTGCATGGGGTCTGGGAATCCTGTGCAAGTCAATACAACCCAACATTCCTTTGAGGGCGGGAGATTGGAAGTATTGTATAGCGCAATACAAGCCCCACAGCTCTGCTGTATGCATCATCTCCAGAAATACTGCATTAGACAATACGCACCTTACAAGGACCCAGCTAGTCTTGCAAAGGCAAAACTGACTGTTTATGTATAGAAGTCACTATACAGGATGGCAGAACGAATGCGCGGGGTACTCTGAACTGTGTGAATATTGTTGGTGCGAATATATGGTTAATAAGTGAGTATTTCACTCATTAAAAAGTGAGAGTGTGGGCTCAGAAGCAGAAAAAGCTTTTGGTTTAATCTAATAATAACTACAAACAGTGCTGACGACAAGCAGACTGAATTAGTCTGCTAATAATGGCCTCATAGTACAGTATATTAATGACTAAGAAGTCAGTAATTCAAAATTACTGAAGTATGAAAGAAGAAATAAATTGAAAGAAGAAGTAAAGAAATAAAGCATGAAGACTACGCTGAAAGATGAATAAAGTTGTACTGCAAGTTAGTGAACTATTAAGACTACCATTTGGCAGCAGGCCTCCAAAAGACTGTTCTTCAGCTTGCCAAAGTATGACTACCTTTAAAAGGTGAAAACTACCTAAAAATGGAAACACTGCTAGACCAATCCATTCTCAGAGGTATCATGCTCCTTTTATTTATGTATTTAAATTAAAATTTAACATTCTCCTGCTACCCAATTGCTTGTATGAATATATCCTGCTTTCTCCACACTGCACATATGAAAGTTCAACCAATACTTACAGAATCTTTCAATATATTTGGAGACATGCATTCTCAATTTATTTATTTTAAGCAAACTGCAAGATTGATTAATTCACATTACACTGGTTTCTCTCACAGATTTTATTGTGTTGAGAAAGCTTTAAACGTAAACTGTATATTTAAACTGTCTGCTGTGCTATTTTAAACCCACAAACAACTTGCATGTGGTCCACTGTTTCAAACTCAGTTTGGAATTTAAATGTGTTTTTAAATATCAATTGCATGCTACTATAAAAAACTAATTCAGTCAAAACTAGGCTGGTGAGTAACATCAGGACATTTGTTAAGACAAGGAAATACTGAAACCAACATAATACCCCTTATTTTTCCTCTACTAGCTTCACAGCATGACTAACAACTTCTGGAGCTTGTTGTGCCACCTTCTTCCTCATCTTCGTACTGCAGGCTTGCTACTGGTTCTAGTAGTTATATCTGATGTTTCAACCACGACAGCTAAAATTTAAAAAAAAAAAAAAAAAATCAAAAGAAAGAGAATATTTAGTACTAAGTGTACCTATTTGCCCACATACTACAAAGGACAGACAGTACTGCAATGATACATTGTATATATTATAAAACCAGCAAGTAATACATAAAATAACTACCTCTATCACATTACTTGACATGCTCAATCAGTTGAGTTTTTTCCTGTCAAAGGAATACTGTCCCAAAGCTGTAGCAACTGCTCTCCAACCTGTGGCTCCAGTTCCTACAAACGAGCAAGAAATTACAGAAATTATCTGCACTGCTACTATTGAACATATGGAGACTATAACAAAACTGTTAGATGAAGTTCCTGGTGATTGCTCTCAGTCTTTCTGAAAGAGCTCCTTCATTTTGCTATCGAAACATAGATTAGAGCTCCTGCATAGGAGAAGTTTTTTTTACTAGGGCTCAAAGACAAGACAAGAACTTTTGTAAGGTACCTTGGCATTCAGGTTGTTTGAATTTTATTATTCACAGCAAGATGTTAGTTCTTAAGACTAGAATTCCAAGTGAACACACCACCACCATATACAACGCACCATATGCCTTGTACCTGCCACAAGTCACTTATTAACTAGAGATCATTATTCTCCCTACCTCTTAAGTTTAATTCCATCAAGTGTGGTATAGAATGTGGAAAGGCAGGTCACCTGCCACTATACAATGGCTCTTGGGGGAATCATACATATTAACAAACTGTTTTTCAGATTACTAAGACTCTTTAGGTCTTAAGAGCCACTTTCAACAGAAGCACTGTTAACTCCATTACGTACTACCTTCCCTTCCTCATTCCTACAACTGAAGAGGTTCTGGGGAAGTAGCAAGAAGATGATTAGGAAGTTTAGCTCTGGAATCTCTAAAGATATTTTGCAAGTGGACTGGGGAGAATGCAGAAACTGCCAGAGAACTCTTGTGCCAATTCTCTTTCAGCTTTTTGCAGTTGCATTTAGCTTTAACACACTGGAGAACTGTCCTAAGTTTTATTCTACCTCAAGATTCTTTTCAGGCTTTACAGAAAATTCAAAGCTATAATGATGGACAGTTTACTCACGTGTGACAGACTACCTCAGAGAACAAATCTATTGCTAAAACACATCATTAGCCACTGCCCTGTTACAGATGTTGCTGAAAAAAATGCTATAAAACTAGCTTATAATCCATTGCAATTTATTCTGTTACAAATGCAGACCTGCAGACTGCTATATGACACTCTGTTTTTAAATCCCCAGTGTTGGTAGTACAGGACTAAGCAGCACTATTTTATAGAACACGCAAAACCTATAGAAACTGTATTTTGAGGAAAAAATCCTTATTAGTTCATATATTTACAAAAACTTATGAGTTAATGAGTTAGGAGAGTCACTGCTACTGTAGTAGCAGGTTGGGCAAGCGTTTTGGCAAAATTTATTTAGTCTGCCCTGGGCATCCTGCACAGCCGTCAAGAGCAGTAATGCTTGATTCTTAGTTGTGCTCTGTGGCAAAGAGGAAAACTTTTCTTTTCATACTTGCTGTAGGCTATTCTGCCAGAATTTCTGTGAATTTTTTTACCTTATGCTCTCCAGTGTTTTGAGATAAATGTCAAGGCTAAACAAGCTAACAAACAATACACCAAGTAAGGAAGACTTTAGAAGAGAACATTACCTGGCCATCCCTGCTTATTTGTACTTTCTTATTATCATTCCAAGGGTTGAGCAAATGGTGTGCAAACTGGAAAGGAATGCTTTCTTTTCGGATCCACTCCACCTTAAATACCCCTCCAAAACCAGCAGATCCCCAGTCTTGACTTTTCTCACACCCTATCTCTGACGCCATTCTAGCAAAACCCTGGAGCAAAAATTGAAATATAAAAGGAAAGACACAATTACAGCCTTTATGCTTACATTGGAATTAAATTACTTGACTATATATGAAACTTTTGAATTAGTTTCAAAGTACTCTCCCCCATTAAGCTGGATCTTTTGAAGTGTCTACACCTAGAAAGTTGTATGTGATTTCCCACCTCAAATACCCCTTCCAGGGTTTCACTACAGAATGCCTCTCAATTCATCTCTCACAATTATCAAAGTTTTTTTTTAGCTTTTTAACAGAAGTGGAAAAGGTGTTGCAAAACCACCTGAATCCTAAGGAATCAAGATGAATGTTCTACTACATAATAGTTCATTAGCTATTCCTTGTTAGTTGTAGGTATTTTTTTTCAGAAATCCATTCCTTCTTTCCCATGTTCCTTCTATGTTAACAAAATTTCACATGGAATTATGAGAGTATAGCTGTTTTTCAAGGAAAGAGGTCAAAGTTGCTTTTTTATTTCCTCACTTCAACAAAGAAGGAAGAAAAACTCAAACCACCAAAAACAAAACAAACCACCATGCACCAAACTTATAAGGTATTTATGAAAATTTACACTACTTACGACTTAAGAGTCCACAAGATGCAGTGCACTACTTAAGTCAGCAGCACACACTACTGTTGTGACAAATGCAGTCCTAGACAGCTCAAGCCAGACTTAAATGGAAATTAATAAAAGGAACAGGGGAAAAATAAAGCTGGAAAGTAAAGAGACACTTGGTACACAACAATATTCATACTGTTAATCCCATGAATGCCCAGTGCATTGTCAAACTAGAAGGCTAAGGCAACATCAACCACCTATGCTCCTGACTTCAGCATGCCTTTCTCTCCCAGATTTCTCGTCTAGAGCACCAATACAATATAGACCATTTTCAGTAACAACTGCCGTGCTGAAAATTACTTTCCAGTACTGCATTTGCAAATCATCATACATATATCTCACCATAATCCTTCAGTAGTGGCACCAAGGCAGCTGTATTTGGGCTAGTTCATTAGATTTTAAGTTTAGCTGATTTTCATTAACAGTTCATACAAAAAGAGCTAAGTTGAACTTTGTTTTTTCCTGGAACAACTGAGTTTAGCCCCCTCCAGAATACAGCCAACCTGCAACTTTGCACTACTTCACTACAGGTCAAGTCTTTAACTTCAAATGGCTACAAATTTGTCAACAAGTTGTTGACCAACACTTTGCTAAACTTGAAGTAAAGAAACAGCTCTGGAAGAATCATGGCCATTACCTTCCACCTCCTGACTTTAACACTACAGTTCAGACAGAACAGATTTTATTAAAATTTTTAATAAAGACATTTATGTATTTATTAAATGACTGGCTTTAGAAAGCTTTGACTTGACTGTAATTGCCTGTTACAATGTTTACTTTGACACACAGAGAAAAGTGTAGCAATCCCCTGTTTTGTCTGAATTTGTTTGGTTTGTTGTTTTAAAGAATTAATGCAGGGTCTAAATATTATTCTGACTCAAGATGCTCAGAAGCAATTAGCTCTTAGCCTTTGAGTGACAAACTGACTTAGCTAAAAAGGTGTATTTCAGAGAAGAGTGAAGTACTCTTTTATCAGCAACCACTTACTTTTGCTTGCTAATCTTTACTTCTTAGAGGTCAGAAGTCATAAGCAAAAACCTCCATACTACACATAGTCATTTGCTGCACTCTCCTAAACCATTAACCAAAGCTAATATTCAGTATTAACTAAGGACTCACCTGAAAGTGTCCAGACCCTTGAACAGAAAATATCAAGTAAACCATGCTGCTCTCCCAAAAGGCTCTATTTAGCTTTCGCTCATTACTTGGCGTAGTAGACCATATACCCTTCTGTTGAGAAATATCAATGTTTTGCACGTTGCTACTTTTCATTATAAAGTACCAGACTGGCATATTTGGTCTTGGTGAAGGAGATTTGGAATCCTGGAAATATTAAAGAAAATTAAATTAAGCTAAAAAAAAAAAAACAAACAAAAAAACCCACCAACCAACCAAAAAAATACCCCAAACCACCACACAAACAAAAAAACCAACAACCAAAAAAACCCAACTAGGCTTTAGTTCCAGAGTTTTAAACACACAAAGATAGAAATCTCTTGAATGCATTCCTACCCTTTTTACCCAGATTCTACAAGAAACACAGAAGCTATCAGCTGGTGCACTCTGAATTGGTTTTAAAATGTATTTTACATTCCTTCAGCACTTTCAAAAATAATAATTCATTCATCAGGGGCAGCAAACAAGACTGGCAGAACAGGCCTAAATAGTCTAGTGATCAATTACAGTTCTTTGAAGTTTGACACACTTTCGGATGGCATAAAATTAATCATTCCAGACTGTAGCCTGAAGCAAACTACTCGTTATTTCCACCTTCAGGAAAAATAAGTTTTCTACCTTTTATACTGGCTGAATTTAAAACCTTGAAGATTTAAGAGGAATTATTAAATCCTTCAATGAGTCTGTACCCAGACAAACAATGGGCTTTCCTTGCAGTGATCTCTTCAATATTACTGCAGTTTACTATTCAAGTACACAGGGAGAGTTATACCAATAACCTCACTAGGAAACGTGTGCTTTATTAAAATAACCATCATTAAAAAAGAAAGCAGCCATAATAAGGCAGATAAAACAAAACTTAAAAGAGAACTGGTATCAATGTATGCAATTCCAGAAACACAGGAAGACAGAATCCAAAAAATTCAAAGTGCATGCACTGTATACAAATTTATTAAAGAAAAAGATAAATAATAATACACCTTCACTTGGTATTGTATCAAGTTTCAAAATAAAAACCAAACATGATCTTTTCTAGTTTGGACAGCTTTACCTCAGCAGTCTGCAAAGAGTAAAATCATTACTGTATTAAACTAGTATAACAAGGACATCTAGTCTAGATTTTAAGTTCTAGAAAAACATAAGTATTATGCAGCTGTTAAAAATGATAATCTAAGTTAGAGTCTTTATTTATCAATATAATACCTGATAGCTGCTGAAAGATACCAGCAAATATATTTCTGAAGTTCTATTAATTCTGAAAAATAGGGTCATTTGTTTATGAGAACTCTTACCTTTCCAGAGGTTGGAGAAGAAGGACTAGCACAGGGGCTTGGATAGCTACTGCTGTCTGTAGACTTCACTGATGATTGATCTGACCTGTCATCTAAAGCTCGTTTGGAGCGCAAAATGGCTTTGTCCTTGTACTTCTTTGGCTGGTGAAGTGCAGGAAGCGCAGACTTCATTAAAACTCTAAAAAATAAGGTAGATACAGGACATACCAGTGATTTCATAAGGTGGCACAGAACAATTTATATCTACATATTAGCCTATTGCATGACTACATATTCTAGTAATTCCAAAAGATATTAAACACTATCTGAAAAGACACTGATCATGCACTGTATTTGAATCTTAGGGTTGAACCTCCTCTGTGACTTCTTGCCAGAGATCAAAATTCATAGACAATATTCCTGGTTGCTCTCTCTAAAAGCAGGCACATATATGAAACGCTTCTCAATGAAATTACAACTATCGTGCAGCACAGAACCATAGAACAGTTAGGGTGAGAATGGACCTTAAGATCATCTAGTTCCAACCCCCCTGCAATGGGCAGGGACACCTCACACTAAACCATGCTACCCAAGGCTCTGTCCAACCTGGCCCTGAACACCAACAGGGATGGAGCATTCATAACTTCCCTGGGCAATCCATTCCAGTGCCTCACCACCCTTAAAGAACTTCCTCCTTATATCCAATCTAAACTTCCCTTGTTTAAGTTTGAACCCGTTACCCCTTGTCCTATCACTACAGTCCCTAATGAAGAGTCCCTCCCCAGCATCCTTGTAGGCCCCCTTCAGATACTGGAAGGCTACTATGAGGTCTCCACTCAGCCTTCTCTTCTCCAGGCTGAAGAACTCCAACTTTCTTAGCCTATCTTCACACAGGAGGTGCTCCAGTCCCCTCATCATTCTCATGGCCCTTCTCTGGGCTTGTTCCAACAGTTCCGTGTCCTTTTTATGTTGAGGACACCAGAACTGCACACAATACTCCAAAGTAAGGTCTCATGAGAGCAGAGGAGAGGGACGGGATCACCTCCTTCGACCTGCTAGTCACGATCCTTTTGATGCAGCCCAGGATACAGTTGGCTTTCTGGGCTGTGAGCGCACACTGAAGCTGCCTCATGATCATTTTCTCATTAACCAACACTCCCAAGTCCTTCTCCACAGGGCTACTCTGAATCTCTTCTCTCCCTAGCCTGTAGCCGTGCCTGGGACTGGGATTGGTCTAACCCAGGCGTAGGACCTTGCACTTAAACTTCATAAGGTTGGTATCAGCCCACCTCACAACCGTGTCAAGGTCCCTCTGGATGGCATCCCTTCCCTCCAGCCTATCAACCCAACCACACAGCTTGGTGTCATCAGCAAACTTGCTGAGGGTGCGCTCAATCCCACTGTCCATGTCACCAAGAGATGTTGAACAAATTGGTCCCAACACTGACCCGAGGGACACCACTCTTTACTGTTCTCCAGCTGGACATTGAGTCATTGACCACAACTCTTTGCGTACCGCCATCCAGCCAGTTCTTTACCCACCAAGTGGTCCATCTATCAAATTGATGTCTCTCCAATTTAGAGACAAGGATGTCGTGCGGGACATGCAGGACATATAGCATAGGATAGTATATTCTTTCAATTGTATTTCTATTGTTTCTCACTTTATATTAGTAGGAGAAATTAAATTCAGTTATGATCTACAGTCTCTAGAAGATCTCAGAAGCTTACTTTTCAGCATTAGAGGAATCATCAGAGAATTCAGTTTCTGCTAAGCTTTTTCTACTGTTGGTTGACCTCCATGTAGATGTTACAGGAAGTTCTTCAGAAGTCATAGGTCTTGGTCTCTGACCAATTCCTGAAGGCTGCTGCAAACCTGCAGACTGTTCTTCAGAACTTAAAACAGCTACAATTGCTCTTACAGTTGTTTCATCAACTTGAGACCACGGTTTAGAAGGAGCTCGCATACGACGCAGAAATAAACTATGCCACTTCTGTCTCAGTTGCAACAGCAAACCAGCAGCCTGTAATGAATTTCAATTCTGTTAATAAGAATTAGATCAGACAGGTAAGAGTATCCTACATATCTTCTACCTGGCATTATCTGTTATTCTAAAATGAACAGTCTCTGAACTGAAAGGCAAGACTAAAGTGCTAAAGAAGGGGAGAAAACCCCGCATTTAAACTAAACTATTATCTTTTCCTTCTTCAGGCCCAAGATAATTTGTAAATGTTTTATTTCATTTAACTCTGCACCAAACTTAAAATTATATTGTAAACCCTTTTTCACTTCAAAATTCTACCAAAAAAAAAAAAAAAAATCACACTTCTAAACACGTCTAGCAGAGACAGTTTTATTATGACATCTGAGAAGTCCAAGTATTTCATAACCTCTAAACTACTCTATCTCCTACCACAGTCACAGCTTCTCAACTGCCTGAAGACGTCAAAGTGTTTGCTTTTCTTTTCTTTTTTTTTTTTTTTAAATCTGACAGCAGCTTTTTTTCAGCGACTCTACCTTCAAGATCTCTAACTTGTCATCCCCTTAGAGAAGGAAATATACAGTTGTCACTGTTCACTCAATTCCTGCTCACATTTTGGCTAACACAGCGCATGCTAAGGCTCAGTGTGTGCAGGGAGCAGTTCCATCATGTCAAAATGAGAGCAACACAGAGGTAGGTCAGGTGGCCAGAAAGAGCTAAAGGCAGTCACTATTACTTCTAGCTTGCTGTCTCTTGCAGCCATTATCTCCAAATGACAGCTTCATCAGAATCTACTAATTTATGGAAATGGACCAAACATCTAAGCTGGAAGGTATAAAATATGAGCTTACACAAAAAGCTTTTGATGTGGATCCAACAGCAGCTGGACTGCTGAGGCTTTCCTGCTTCCCACTGTGATACACGTGATGCCTGCACCATGATGGAGTAAGGTAGACTAGTGTGGGCAAAAGGGGATTGAGCTCCTGTTTGTTTTATTTCTTCATGAGCTCATGAAATAAAGGCTAAGTCTCAGAGTATCTTATTCCATAAATACTTGCTGTAGGCTATTCTGCCAGAATTTCTGTGAATTTTTTTACCTTATGCTCTCCAGTGTTTTGAGAGTAACAAAATGCAAATCTAGTATTTTGAGTGTTAAGACAATGACTACTTCCTTTATAATTAAAAAATAAGTAGGTTTTTCTACTACTTTATGGGTCTGTAAGCAAATGTGAAAAAAGAGGAAAGTATGAAAGGGTAAAAGATTTGAAGAAAACAATGGTGCATTAAAGAAGCAATAACCCGGGTAAATCCAGTTTTCTGGTTGGACGCAAATGGCATTGTTTCTTTGCATGAAGAGATGTTAGATAATGCAAATGAAGGCATTAATATGAGTTGCATCTTACCCAAAAGGAAAGGTTTGGAATTTTGCGAGATTTTTCTTCTGAAGCTGAGAGGCTTAGCTCTTTGATCGACAAGAACATAAACTACATGATACAGTAATGTGAACATAGCTGAGTAGCTGGTAGATCTTTCATCAGCACTTGGCTAAGATGTACAAAGGTGAGCAGAAATAAAAAATGAAGAACTTTTTGATTTTGCTGTTTCTCTTGCTTGGTATCATGCCTCTATGCATGTCATTTTCTGTGGAGAGCCTCTGTCTTTTGGTTTCAATATCTTTATACCATGCATGAATTTTGTTTTCTTCTAGGTGTGTTTGTAGTGGTTGGCGGTTTTATTTTTACTTTATTATTAACTTAAACTTAAGACCCTTGTATGTCATTGGCCACATTGTTTATTTAATGGGAGAATATTACATATCTGCTAATGGTTACAAATGCAGAGAAGTATTTTGGCTTTCTTGTTTACTCTGATAGACCTTGCTAGGAAAAGCACTGTGACTGGCTTTCAAAGAAGCGTTTGACAGCAAATGACATGGTAAATGTGAATTTTGAAGCTTTTAAGAAGAAGGGGTAGAGGATCTGATGCATTATCTTAGGCAAAAGCAGAGACATATATGAATATTCAGGATGAAAATATCGGTCATTTTCACTCCTAAAGATCTGTGTTATTTATGAAAGAATTGTGTTCTTAGTGTTGTGTCGGTTTACGTTTCTTTACCTCCTGAGGGTGTTTCTTTGTACTTCGTGTTCCAAAATTTCTTTCAATATCTCTGTGTCATCTTCACTGAATTTCTATAATGAGTAGCTCCCTACTGTGATTCCCAGAAATTAAAATGCTCATTAAGTTGCTTTATAGTTAATTTTTATTCAGTACATTTTAAACTTACTACCATTTCTTCCTACCCGTGAGTGTCTTTTACAAATACTGAGGCTTTTTGGTTCATTACATAATCTATCCAGCTCTGCTGGGGGGTAAAGGGTGCATCTGCCGATGCTAGTAAGAGCAATTAAGACAATGCAAGAACATGTGTAGAAACTTTCTTCCAGTGGCAGTCATTAGTGGCTAAGTAATATAGTAATAAATGAATATTTAGGCATTATCAGAGTTGGGAAAGGCACATACATTTACTTTAGAAGTAGGAGAATTAAAAAAATCTGGAAACCACTTGAAACAATGATGCATATTGAGACTGAAATTTCCCTCCCTTTTTTCTTCAGTCAGATCTGTAAGATTTACTTAGCTATTTTACAGTGTTCTGTCCTCTGGTTCTCCTTCCCATGGAAGGCAGAAAGCTTTTACGAATCTGTGAGTCTTTAGGCAATAAATCCTGCAGTTTCAACTAGCACATTATTAGTACGAATAAGAGACTAAATCCATGCAGTATATTCTTTCAGCAAAGTCTTTTATAAGATCATAATTTGTTTCCCGAAGAGCCAAAAATCTTATTTCTTCATCAAATAGTGTTTGATTCTTACTTCATATTAAAAAACATAATGTGGTACGGAAATCAATAGACTTGACTTTTTCTGTTGAATTTAGTGGAGTCAGTAATTTCTTTCTTACTACTGTTACTTGACTGTATATATCTGTGAAGGCATGTTATTGGTACAATTTTATTTGATTGACTGATCATGTTATGCAATATATAGAACTTAATAAGTCTGTCCTAAGGCACTAAAAAGAGTGACATAATCTAGATTCTATTCTCTTCTAGAGAATTACTCTACTCATTAACACGTTGAAGCTAACTCATGTTTATGATCTTTTTGGGAGCTTGGTGGAAAATCTATTGCAACTGCTAAGAATAGACGTTAGAATGTCTCTTTTCCAGCAGAGCTTGCATCTTGCTGTAGCTTACAAATATAACTCTTACTGGATGTGTTACTGCTATTTCATGATGATAACCCTGTATGCTTGCTGGCCTGGTTTGGAATGTTCTCCAAATATTAGAGGCTTCTAGATGGTATTTTTGTGTGAATTTTACAGCTTTGCAATTTTTTGAAAATTTTAACATGTTGTTCTTCATGTACCTGCAAACTTACTTGAGGTTTAGATTTTGAAAAGTTCTAGATACTCTGGTCTTGACAGAGTGAAAACTTTAGTTTAATGTTCTGAATTAGTTTGACTCTAATTTCAGCAAAACCTATATACATCTGCAAGTAGGACCCCTTCTGGAGTACTACAGTCAGTTCTGTTGCCCATGTAGCAAGGTACACATAAACCTGCCTTGAAAAGGACCTGACAAAAGCTTCCCACCTTAGATGAGGGCTTGAGAGAGCTTCGCATGTGCACAGCTCTTCTCTCACCATATGGTGGTGGTCTTCTGTTGCACAGGTAAAGAATATGGGTCCTGAGTCCAAGGGGCTAGATGACTATACCTGACCGTAGCTCAGATTTGACCAGGGTATAAAAGCTCTGCTGTAGGCACGTAGAGTCAGTAATCGGCACCATTCCCTTTGGGTCAGGATGCCATGCAAGGAATCCTGAAGTGAAGGCCCTCTGTTTTTAGATGAGGGCGCATTTTAGATCATTTATCATGAAGAAGAACCATGAGCATAGTGATGAATCCATGTGACATTTTTAATCTCATGGTAATGCTGGGGAGCTTAAATGAGTTTGAACAATAAATTTTGTTTAGCCTCAATTTATCTATTCCACAACTTTTAAGTTGACGTAGTTGGCAGGATGTCCCTATAGGAAGAACTGTTATGGAGGCATGGATGTGACCTTTTTCTCCCATGTGTACATGGGCAAAGAAGTGGTTTGAACTAGGAGTGATCCTCACCATAGTTGAATGGAAGTAGATATGAGGGCAGAAGTAAACAGAGCATGTGGGCCATCTGGTGAAGGCACAGAGCTGCTTAAAAGAGTAATTTGTATAAGCAGTTGAAGATGGACTGTTTAAAAGACGATTTAAAAAGAAAGGGAATGAAACTATGCTGGCATGAGCCAAAAACCCCACCAGTTTTGTCTTAACTGATTGTGGGACCCAGAGGATTGGAACAGGTATATCTCGAGGAGAGTCTGATGAGTAGTTCTGAAAAGTTGGAGTAACTGGGGGAAAGGAACCTCTTACTAAAACTGAAGGGCAGAAAGGTCTGCAAGGTGTCAACCCCTGACTTGCAATCCACATGGCTGCTGGCTGGTATATGAGCTCAAGGAGCTACAAATGGGCAAAACATAAAAAATTTTGAGTATGATGGGGCAAGATCAGATATTGTTAAGCAATGAAGCAAGAGGGTTGGGGGCCCAGGAATGTTTTTTTGAGCCATGGATGAGCGAGGGATTGCTCAATCACCTCTTGAGTGGCTTATTGGACTGGGCTTTAGAGCCCAGGAGTAAGGACAGACACACTAGTACAGTGAAAGAGCTCCTGGAGGGAGAGCAAAAGGCTGCTTGGATCTAACTGATGCATGAGAAAAGCCGCCATGGAGTACGAATGACGTCACTGGTAGATCCCAGCCACCTCAGATGATTGAGGATGAAAAGAGCTTCCAAAACGGTGATGAGATACTCAGTATCAGTTGTAGTAAGCTTATAAGCTGTGTATATTGGACCCCAAGAGAAAAGCAAAAAAGTCTTATTCACAGTCATACACTCTATACAGCTTTGTCAAAATGTATGTCTCTAAATATGTTTTAAATTATGGTTAATTATGTTT